TGACTGATACTGATTAGCCCTATTTTTGCAGATACTCTTATGAAGTATCAGGGTTCCCACATGTCCTTAAATCAATGGAAATTTAGGAAGTAGTTTTCTAGTCATTGAAATGACCAAATATCCTGGAAATAATCAGAATCAGAAACAGAAATACTTTATTGATCCCCCAGGGGGGAAATTGGGTAAATAAACCTGTTACAGACTCTGCATTCATCACAATTTAAAATTTTATTTTTATTGACATTTCAATTTGTAGTGGAAAGTGGAAAAGCCAAAACTTAATACATGAACTACATACATAAAAGGCGTGAAAGGTCAACTAAAGCCAACCAAATTGTGTCTTTTACACACTCTGTAACTGTTACAAACCAATACTGGTGCTGAAATGTGGAAAACGCCTGATGCTCATGACTTTGAAAGAAAGCCTGTTTCATTTATGTACTGTATTTTTTCATCAAGTGGTGACTTTGTGGCCTCCTTTTATTCGGTGTGATATTTGTTTGGTGTGAGAGTTTTGGCCCCTAAAACTAACTACAAATACTTTTTGTATTTATATTATTATACTTACATATTATATGTTAGTTCTACATATCTTCTGTATATTTATAGCTCCACACCTTCCCTGGCACAATGCTTTAGAATTTAGGACTTTATTTATATATATTTATGAATAGTTGCTGCCGCACATTCCAGAATTTGCTAAACCATCAACAGCACTCAGCAAGTGCCAAAACAAGATCCAAGGAGGATATGTTAGTGAGGTAGATTTTTAGGTTTACTTTAGAAGGTGAGTCGAGTTGATAACATTTCTTTGTCTGCAGCCTCCATAATCATTTAAATAATGATTTTATGATGTGGGTTTGAGGACCTGAAATGGAGAAATCTGCAGCTGTGCCCACTTTAAACATTGTGAGAGTGAGATTATGTGCTGTGTCTTTGTTCATGAAAGATATGTAAGATCTCCTGATCTGTACCGACAGCAAGTCTTTACTCATGTGTGGTCGTGTCTGAATTCTGTGTAAAGCTTGACTGTAAAGCTCAAATACTCGCAGTGAATTGTCTTTAAACTCTGGCTGTGGTCCTTCTGTATGTATAGCTACTGTAGGTGACGCAGTTCACAGGATATATTTCATGACCTGTCCTGTTTGTGAGGATACGGGTGGCTGTGGCTGGAGAAGGGAAGGAAATGCAGCATTCTTTCGAGGAGCTGGGCCTTTTGGATGGGAACAATCACCGTGGAAGAAAAACAAGGCTGAAAATAACCACAGACTGCTCTGACACTGTGGAAGGCTACAATTCTTCCACCGTCGGTTGTTTTATGCTCATATTAGGACATGCAAAGTAGACATAGAGTCCTGGAAGTGGAGTTTACCGTTCAATGTGAAAGGCTGATTCTATTTCTAGATGGAGGGAGTTTCATAATACCATTTTCCAACATTAAATGAATCAAGCTTCCAAAACATTATTGATTTCGCACTAAAAAACATACATTTAACAAGTGGCTCTCATTTGTTAAAGGGCCGGTGTGTAGGATTTAGTGGCATCAAGGGGTGTAGTCGCAACTCACAGGCTTCCACCATCCACTTCCAGGTGTGAAGAAGAAACTATGGTGACACGAAAAAAGGCGGACGGCCTTATCTACAGCCAGTGGTTTGTCCGTTCTAGGCTACTGTAGAAAGTAGAAAGTAGAAATTACTGCATTGCCTTTTCAGAAACACATTTTAGCGTACTGTTTATCTGTAATACAAGAACGTGTGTGACCAGGCACGCCGTCACTGTTTCCTGCTACAGAGGATTCGAAACCGCACAGCCAGCATGGCAACGGCCATTATGCCAAAACTGAGGCTTTAAAACGGTTCTCCACAAACAAATGAATGACTTCAAAATAGTCTCACACTTGATCAGAACCCATTTAAAGTACATGTTTTTTTTTTTACCAGAAGCTAAGACTTTCACATAACCTTCAAAAGCAATGACCTGCTTGTTGTCTCTAAAAAAAGACTGTATTATGTCTGATAACCAGAATTAGCAATATTTCCAAATTCAAATGCCTCTTTAATCTCCCTGCTTCCATCTCTGGGGTACGAATGGAAGAATTTGGTCCAATAAGAGCTCTATTGTTCTGCCAAGCGTGGAGCTGTAGGTAAAGCTCCCCCACACAGCGAGCCTCAGTGAGCTGCTTGGTTTACCTACTTTTGGCTTGAGAGATTACTGGGCACTGAGCTGCTTTTGGATCTGGAGGCCCGGAGGTTAATTCTGAAGAGAATGGTGAATAGGCAGGCCTCTGTATGTGCACACATGCATGCATGCACATACACAGCTGGAATTTAGTTACACACGTATACACACAGATACACTCAATCTGTTTTGGCATCTCTGGTTTCTGTCCCGCAAAGCTCGTACTACAGCAAATCTGATCCACAGTTTACACTTGACGGCGCGCAGGAAACAAGAAGCAGAGCGAGCGGAGAGACAGAAAGAGGAGATGCCGGGTGTTGACATAGTTGAGATGAAAATGTTGTAAATATTTTTTTGATAATAGTAAACTACGAGGAACTGGCAGAATTCTTGCCCTCAGGCATGTTCACGGCGATGAGAGGTGAGACGAGGGGGATTAGAGTTTTCGTTTATCAGTAACAGTGCCTGAGATACCGGAGTCTTTACAAATCCATCAAATGTCACAAAGCTTTCAAACAGAAGTGGGAAGAAATGAAGTACAGTACGAATACTTTGTTACTATACTTAAGTGTTTTTTTTTTTCAATCTGTACTTCAGTATTAACCTTTTACTTTTAACCCCCTTCATTTTTACACAAATACGTGTATTTTTTTTTTACTCCTTACATTTTTAAACCAGGCTTGTTACTTTAGTTTTAATGCATTTGAGGGGAATTATCGCTTATTATTATTTCTTGCATCATTGCACGTCTTCCTAGCATCAAGACCGGTGCACATCACGCATAAGAGACGTAACATGATGAAAAAGACGTAACAAAACGAAACAGATTAGAGGGAGACTCAACCCTATTTGAAGTTTAAGGTAGCTTTGCGCAGAAAAAGAGAAACCAAGAGAGACTCAGTGCTTCTTCTTTTATTGGAGTCTTTTTTTTACACAAATATCTGTACTTCTACTTGAATAAACGCGCAAATAAATGTGTATACTCCTGCCACCTCTGGTCTTAGATGAGATGTAGAGCATGTGTAGCCTGTATATCAGTAGGACAAACTGTCCTGTATAAGTTCATGTTATCTAAACTGACATTCTAAAGCTTGACCTCAGACGTGCTAACATATCTTATTGTACGTTCTCTGTTGAGAAATGGCTGCTTTCATGTCCAGCTCATTGTTTGCTTGTTGTAGCTGCTGTCGCATCCTCCGGTCTTGAAGAAACTGAAGAAACGTACGTGTTGCATGCATTCCTGCTTGCAAACGCTTTGAATCAAGCACCTCCTCAGTAGGTGAAATATAAAAACAAAACAGGCAGTTAACAGGGGTTGCCGGGGTCAGATGCATTCATCTAATAATGTTGTGAGTACTGAGAATGTTTTGATAACGGTAAAGCAAAGGCAGGCATGGATGTGAGTAGGAGTAAACATTATGACCTTGACAATTGACATTGGGAATTCTTCCCAGGCATGGAGAGAAACGGAGCCAAAAGTTTGTTCCATAATCGCTGTGGAGGGCGGTATCTGTGCTCGGTGGAGAGCTTGCGAGGGCAGGGAGGAATTCTGATGTGACGGGGGAGTTTCAGAGGGAGTGAAGGGTCTTCCACTGGAATGTGCCGTGCGTTAGTGCCAAGTCAATGCCACTCAAACTCTCTCTGTATCTGGAGTTATTAGGTTTTTTTGTCCAACAGCAAAAAGAAAGATTCCTGGTGTAGTTGGTTGTTGTTGTTGCTTTATGAATCTACCTTAAAGGAATAGTTCAACATTTTGGTTCGACATTTTCGCTTTCTTGCTAAGAGGTAAATGGGAGGATCAATATCACTTTCATATACAATAACGAGCATCCTGTTTCCCCCTTTGCATGAAGCTAAGCAAACTAGCATGCTGACTACTTAGCTTAGATTGATCCCATTCTCTTGTCGGTATGGTAAATATGAAGCTAGAGCGAAATTGAGCTTCATATTTTGGGGAAAACAGTGTCTGGCTCCAAGAATTCACTGTGCTCAGTTGAGCAATAGCTAAAAAAAGTGAGTTTCCCGGAATGTCAAACTATTTCTTTAGGGATGATTTCTTTAAGGTGGGGTTGTATGAAGTGTGTACTTATCCTTAGTCTGTGTAATATAGCAGTTTCCCATCAGAAGGGGCTGATGGAAGGTAAGACAGTGAAAACAATCAAAATTTTGCATACTTACAATGATATAGATATTTTTTAGGTGTGCTTTTTTATTTGGTTAAAATACAGTTTTCCATAGCAGTACATCACTTAGCTTCCATACTGGTTCCATACTGACAGCTTCTACGGACTGGGGGCGTGCCGACCACCATCTACTGTATGTAACACACTGACTATGAATGAGAACCTTATATAACCCCACAAAAAAAACATAACTCACCCTTTAACTTGAAAAGAGGGGTTTGAAAATGGATAATGGATGTATAGATGATTTAGGTCTGAGGGAGAGCACGTTTCATCAGTTCAGAGCCAATGAAGCCCACAGCAGAATTAAAAACAAAAACAAAAAAAAACCTGCACATTCCTCAATCTGAAAACAAGGCTTCTTTTCTACATTCCTGTGAAGCTGACTTTATGAAATCAACCTCTTCAGGGAACACAAATCATTCACAAATAGGCATCAGAGATAATAAGCTAACATGCAACAGATGAGGGCAATCATTCTAGCTCTGCAACTCAACATCAAATGCTCTGTTGTCTGTCGGTTTCTGTCAGGAGGCCAAGGTGAAGAAGATCATGTCCAAGAAAGAGAGGAAGGAGAAGAAGATGTTCTCCTCTAAAGATGACGAGCACTTCTTGTTGACTGGAGTAAAGCTGGCTGACCGCAGAGGGTGAGGTTAAACACACATAATACTGTTATCATGACAGATGTTTGCCCATGTACTCGCGGTGTGTTTACATGAAGTTCAAGTATCAATAACTTATAAGATTCCCCGTGTACAAGCACTTTTAAAGACATTTAAAGGGATAGTTTGACATATGCTTATTTGCTTTTTTTATATATATATATATAGTGTGAAGCTAGAGCCAGCAGGCTGTTATCTTAGCTAAGACTAAAAAAACAGCTAGCCTGGCTCTGTCCAAAGGAAAAATAAAATTGCCTACTATCACTTCCAAAGTTTATTAATTGACACGTTATATCTCATTTTTATCTTGACAGAGCCTACTGACTCCAACTTACTTAGCGTACAGTCATGAGAGTAACTCTGGCCAAGAAATCAAACGTATTTACAAAAATCTCTACTATACCTTTAAAGGACCAGTTTGCAATATTTAGTGACATCTAGTGGTAAAGTTTGAAACTGCAACCAACTGTATGACCGCTTGCCTTTTAACCCTGTAGGAGAAGCTACGGTGGCTGTAACTGTCACAAAAAAATGCAAAAAGCCCTATCAAGAACTGGCCATTACAAGCATTGTAAAGGACCAATATGTGGCAGGGCTGTTGGACTGGATTACATTAATAAAGTGGTCAATGTGGTGTAATTTAAAGTCAGTTGTGGATCGTCACCGTGGCCTGAACACAACCAAAGTGAAAGTTATTCATCACTTTTCAAGAATACTAGCTTTGTGTAACAGTGTGCTAAAACTATTGGTGTGACCACCAGCATGTAAAATGTATGTCAGACCTGCCCAGATCCTTCCTGGTCCACATCATTGTAAGGGTTATATACTGAGCGACCATTAACGGTGAAGTGTGTGTCGCAGAAATATTTACAAACTTGATTAGAAATAATGGAGTCACGTCCAACCACTTGTATTTGTTTACCTGAGCTCCATTTGCCAGCAGTTATTAACTTTCAGACCTCTTGAGGAAGTGGAACATGTATGGCGAGGAAACGCTAAATTAATCACCCCTGTGTGACAAACAACCAGGAATTTCTATACAATGGCCTGCTATATGGGGAACGTTCCACTCTCCAGTGTAGAGATGCCTCATACACACTCACTCAATCCTATTTATAGTTAAGATGAGAGGTCAACTGATTAATCCATACGCTGACAAGTTTGTGCTTCTCTTCCTCTCCCTGGTTTTCTCTAAAGGTCTCACAAGAAAATCAAGGATGACGAGAAGGAGAAGGAAAAGAAGGACAAGCCAGAGAAGGGCCATTGCTTCTGGGAGAGCGTTACCATGACGATGAGGCAGATCTCGCCCACCAAAAAACTGGAGAAGATGGAGGGCTGGGAGCCGCCTCGCCTGGAGAACTTAACCGAGACTGTGACTGACGAAGCCCCAGAGGACAAGAGCCAGAACGGGAACTCGCCAGTGTCCTTCCCAGACTCTCTAAGCCTCCCGTTGGAATTGTCCTCCTGGGCGGGCCGGGGTCTTGAGGAGGACTCCTCCCGCTATGCTAACCTGTCAGACTCCAAGGATTCAGCAGCCGCCGTTAGATGGACAGCCCGCGCCAAAGTCAAGCTGGCCGGCATTAGCAGGATGAGCAGAGGGATTGTGTCAGAAAGCGCTTGGGAGGGGTTTAAATAGTAGCCATTTTACCTCCGATACCCCCTCCCTCCTTACCTGTGTACCATCAATAAAGAGGATGAGGACCTGAACCAAATATCTGCTTGTCTCTGTAGTCTAGTTCTGGACGAAATCGGTTTTAATGTCAGCTGGTATTGAGATGCTGTAGTCGAGCCCCGAACATAACACATGAAGTTTGTCTTTATTATTTTAGCCTTTAAGTCCTCGAAGACAATATACGTCAGTTTTTATCAATGGGCTATTTTGGACAGACTGCTCCTTTAGGATCACTGATATAAACTGTAAATTCCAGCAAATAAAAGCCTTAAACTACTGTACCATTTTAACTGTGATATCCACTGGCATTTAGATATTTTATATTACCAAGAAATGAAAAATTTTTGATTTTTATATAATTATTGTGGCCGTCAGTGGTAGAGAATCAATGAAGAATATGCAAACCTGCTACTGAAGACTTTATGTTGGCTTCCTTTTGTCTATGCAGTTAGAGTGAAGAATGTGAGTCTGATGCCTCAACGTATACATCAATAACAGGCTTAAAATCTGTGCAATCATGTGTGTGTGTGTGTGTGAGTAAGAGGAAAGAAAGCGAGTTTGTGGGTGGACATGCACGCACATTTGTTTTGGTGAATCGCAGTTGGCATCGCAAAGGAGATGTGAAGTTTAAATCTGATTCTGAGTAATATTTATAAAATCTGAACAATGAAACGATAAAAACCAAACTCTGTGTATAGTTGTTTCTCAAGAAAAGCAGCGACTCCGTGCACCTGTGCCTTGTAACAATAGAGTGACATCATGTGTTTGCTGTAAATGTGAACCAAACGAAATCATCCCATCAGCACAAACCTGATGTGCTCGTCACATTGTCTAACGCAGGTGCAGGTGGAACAACCCAGCATGCACCTGTGCTGCACCAGCCTTTCAGACACTTCTTGGTTTCCAGTTACAAACCTGTGTCCCTGGATGTCGTTAGCTCCACCAGCAGTAAAAGTGTTTCCGTGCTGCATTATAAAAAGCTGGTTCTTAAATGCTGTTTGCATATCTGTGTATTGTATAGGACTGAGACAATATAATTTAATTTCTACAATGATTTTCTCTTTTAGGTAAATGAGATGCCACTGGTCTTTGCTTCTCTTTTCTCTTCTTTGTTTTAATCTGTTTACTGAATTTGTTTGATACTGAAGTCTGCTTCAATGCAGCCACACAGATACAGGCCACTTCCAGGGATGCCTGTATCCTGTATTTGTTCACTAAAAGGCTGGGTCACATTTTCTCAAGCAGAATAAAGATTTAGTTTGACTGTCTGGCTCTACTTCTTTCAACAGTTTGCAGTCTGGCGTAAACCTACGCTTTGATTTACCAGACTTTTCTTTCACCACCCAGATGGTTTTCGCTGATATAGTGGCCGAAACAGAGAGTGTACCCAAGTTCTTCATCAGAGGGCATTTGAAGGTAGCCCGCCACTTGTAAAACATACTGTAACATACTGCACAGTTACCACGGAAATTATTATTCTACTGTAACACAACCTCAATTTCCACATTTGCACACAAGTCTTAATACTTCCAATTTAAATTCAGAGTGGAGCAAATTAGGAAGAATATAAATCATGAAATACCTCCTTTGCTAAATGACAACTTTTTCTTGCTGTTTTAGCTGAAAATACATATTATATCCACATCTAAGGAGTGGAAACTACGATTAGGTCAAGTCTTAGAAAATATATCTATTCAATAAACAAAAGGACAATAGATTCCTTGAAAAGAAAACAGGTTTTTAGAAATATTTAATTGTTGTATAGCTAGTTCCTGTCCCATAAAAGTCACAATAGTACCATAAAGAGTATGGGAACAGTAAAGGATTATTACAAAAGTTGGAGGAAGGATACAAAACCTTTTTTTTTGCCATAAATAATGTTTTACATTTCCTGTCTGTCACTAGACAGTTTTGACAAAAGTAGATTGTAAAAACCTGTAGGGCTAATGAAGTTTTACATCATCTTCTCTTAGTGTCGACGCTTCCAATGTACACGGAGCACAGCAACAACTCACAGAGGACAACATACAGTATGTAAACAGAGACTCAAACACAACATGCATTCAGTTATTGCAGGAAAATACCACCAAAAGAGAACAGAGCAAAAAGCAGAAAAGTTTAACGCCATTAAACGAACCACGAGTCGCCTTATTCTGCCACACTGTTACAAAAAACATTACCTGTCATCACTTGCCTACCATTAACATGCTACAACTCCTTTTACATATAAATCATTTCACATATTCATAATACATTTACGTATATTTTTTTTCTCTCTTATAGCCTTTTTTTTGTCAAGAAGGCAAACATTTGTGCGGAGGGAAGAAAAACATTAAAGTTCCTTTTATATTTCACCCATCACCGACATTCTTGAATTCAACAAACATACACCTTTAATCTCCTATGTCTCATGGAAACACTTGTGCGTAAAGAAATGAAGACATAAGAAAAAGTCATCTCTTTCAGTTGAAGCCCTTTTGTATTTGGGTAAATGACATCTCGGGTAAACTTCGCTTGAAGAGCAACACGGAGGGTTTTAGAACTTGAAGAGGTCGATAAAGTGCTGTGGAGAGATGGGCATGAGGCAGCTGTCTGGATCGTTGGCTGTGCATGGATGGCCACAGTCCTGGAACACAGTCAAAAAACACATTCAGAAAGAAAAGAGACCAGAGGAGCCGCTACGCATACAGTTCACATACAGCAACAGGACGTGGGACACTGGAGCCGGTTGCACCAGCTGGTAATAAGTTTAAACTTGGTGTAGTTATGACACTGAATTAAATACCGCACCATGCAAACTAGTTCTTATGTAGAGATTACTTAAACAAGCAATAACTAAAGTTTTGGCCAGTGATTCCAAACCTGGGGATCGGGACCCCCACTAGGGGTCGCCAAAGCTAAACAGGGGTCGCGAGGCCTTCTTGATTTTAAGGGGTGTACAAAAACGTATATATTTAAAAATATATATAGTCATCCTATATCTCAGAATTTTGTTCATTTCTCTGGAGAAAGCTAAATGAAAATTGTTATTTTTGAAGTTTAGATTATTATTTAAGATATAAACTTTGAAGGTCTGAACATAAACTATATTCACAAGTAATACTTAGTTAAATAACAAAAGAGCTAATAGAACAACAGTAAAGCATCAGGGAGAAGAAAACACAACATTTGTTAAGAAAAGAAGCCTAAGTATGTATGGTTGTTTTAAAAACATAATACAGAGAGAATAGTATAAAAAGTTTCTTAAAAATATGTTTAAAATTCATCCAAGTCGCTCGCTTTACACAAACTTCCTGTAGTTATTATAATCACTGACAAGGTCTAAATATACCACTGATATATATACTGTATACTATCACCTTTTAAATTGATGTCAGGTGTCAAGTGTCAAACTAGCAGCTGTTTATTAACACATCTTGCAGATACAAAACGTTATGTGACGAATGTAGGTCCAATATTCACTTTCTTTGCACAGTTTTTGGTCTCTACCATCTCCTGAAGGACATATCTGGCTCTTCAGCAGCTAAATGCTCCACCATGTTCACCAGTTAGCTGCTTACTTTGTCCATCTTGAAATGTTTAAATTACTGTTGTAAACTGCTATATAAATGATAATATGTATGCTTCACTCTAAAACTATGACAATGAGTGTCAACAATAACTTGAATTAGGTAGATATGCCTAGATATGTTAACTAAAAATGTATCTACATAGCAGAAGTTTCTCACATATGTTAAGAAAGCAACCCCCAAAATATACTTTAAATTACAAAAAAATTTGACCGTTTAATCGGATATTTCCCTCTTGACAAATTTCATGAATACGTATATATCACAAACACAAATATTTTTCTATGTATGCATAGAGTAAAGAAACATAACACCTAGATTTACAAAGGACTGGCAGTCAAACACAATTTATTAATTTGCCTATTTTTAAAAAGAAAACATGAAAGCTACAGATGTAAAGAGCAACTGATTTGCAGTATGTACATTAGTAAGATCTTTGCTAGCTTTATGTTTTAATAGCACCTGATTTAGGTAAGTGTGACGACCCCTGCTGTTAGTCAGCAGAGACTGTGTGTTAACTGGTAGTTAATTGTAGGATGGTTTGGTAATCAGGGCCTTCTGGAGACATCTGTGCCACATGTTCCCAGACTATAAATCTAGGCTCTAGTCTCTCTCTTTGTGGCAGACTTTGTTTCTCCTTCGCTTATTTCATGCATTCTACAATATTCACACACCACACTTAGCCTCCATGCATACCCTGCATTACGGACATTCACACCCCATGCTCTGTGATCTCTTTTCACTCTTTACACTCTTTTCTCTAACACATTTCAGTTTTGTTAAATAAATTACTCGGTTTGATATGTGGAATTTTGTGTCTCACATTCGTCATAGGTACTAAGAACATAGAAGGACTTTATACACATATTTAGTGATGGATTTCCAAATAGCTGGTGCAACCTGATCCTTGACATTAGTACAGGAACATTAGTGTTAAACTAAATGAGATCTGACACATGAACTCAACATTCAGAGGAATTTATGAAACAACAAAAAGGACATTTCGTTTAAGGAATGCAGTTAGAGGCCATTAAAAAGTCAGTGGAAAGAGCAGCTCTGTTGACTAAACACACCTCGAGCAAAGCATGAAGACGTCAAGTGAAACAGAGAACAATACGAGACAAAGATTAACGCATTGGAAAAAGATAAGTCATAAATCAGATCGTCTGGGAAACATGAGACAAACTGGCAACCGAAGAAACACAAAGGCACGATGGGACAGAAAGTACCTTGAATAACAATGCCAGGTGGCGATCCTTAGGGAATCAGGGAGAAGAGGCAGGAAGGAAGGGAGACACGCAAGGAGAGGGATGCAAAAAGGGCAGAGGTTAAAAGGAATAGGGACCCAGTCAAGGAGAATTACAAGATTGAAGGTGGTAAATAATCACAAGGAGGGGGAGGAACACAAACTAAAGGAACAGCAGCATTTTATCGTCAAAGTCCTCCCCCCTGCGGTTATTAGCTAAAATGTGATCTTTGTCCTGCACGTGTTCTAACATCAGATCTCACTAAGGGGAAACAAGTCATTTGTTTGACCTCTGGCGGCTACATATAGATGTGTGAGTTCACAGAGTTGTTTGTTGACAACAAGAATTACCATTATTATCAGTGATAACGTGTGCTTATGTTTGTGACTCATTTCTTCTTGTTTAATAATCATCAAACATTGAGCTTTTTTTCACACAATAAATGTATCTGTAATTAATCAAGGCAACATCAGGGCTTTTTCTTTCCTTTTTTTGTGTCTTTACAACAAGCCAAATGTTTATAGTATAAAGATGGGCTTTCTACATGCTAGAGACAGATATCAGTGTGACAGAGGCTGTGTGATCAGACCAAGTGTGAGTGTGGATGTTTTGACTCTTTGGCCAATGAAACACAATCTGTTCTGGTACAAACTCGACACTTGATTTGATAAACTCTCTGATATACATACAGTTTAAGAGATATCAGGTCTGTGAGAAACATCTCTTTGAACAGTGCAGGTTTAATTTACTGTACACACTCTTTGCTTCTGCTTCTACTAAGCTACAACAACACTGAGAGGCTAAACCAATAACCAATTACCTTCTTTTTCCTCCAATGTAATGTGCAACATATAATTCACTTCTGATAAACAGTACCGGTTGGTTATATGGTGTTTCTTACATGAGATGAATGTAGTTGCAGGGGTGTTTGTTTACCTTCCAGAAGAGGATGCTACAGTGTTTGCAGAAGTGCAAGGTGTCTCCGTACTGCTCCTTCATTGGATAATGTTTCTGCAGGGTGAAGTACATCAGCTTCCAGTCCACGTTATCGCTCTTGGTTAGGACCAAATTCCTACAGAACTGTACACGGATGGAAAGGAAACAATTAAAACAGCATTTAAAACACAGGGGACGGGAATGTAATTATAACTGGAAAAGTTTAATTAGATATAATTAAGGGCAATTTGTCATTAACACCAACCCTACGTGGGTGTTTATACAATGTGTGAGATAGTGTATGTATGTGTGTGTGTGAGAGAGAGAGAGAGAGATATCACTGTGAGCTAATTGAGGCAATTCTGCCCTCTAGTGGTCAACATGTGAACTACACAGCAGCCCTCATCTCTTTGGATGCTTCATCACAAACTACTATTGGATGTTTTAAGCATGTTAAGTTAAATGAAATACACTGTTCTCTCACCTGTTTGTCTGAGAAGTGAAAGTGGCAGAGTTTCTTCCACAACATCCTGTTCTCACTGAGGCAGTGCAGAATAGGCGTGGCCTGTCCCAGGTTAATGATGTCATAGGCATCAGATAACTTGCAGAGGATCTTGTTCTGCATGTGTAGCGGCAAGTCGTTGAATGACAAGCCATTGCACATTTGCTGAGGAGACAATTAAGAGCAACACATTAAACTCACAGCTGGACTGTACAGAGTAACTAAAGTCAAGGCAAAAAAGTTCCAACCAAATAAGGGGTTTTCCAGGATGATGTGTTATGATTCATACACAGTTGAGCAATACATGTTGTCAATACTTCCTCTTCCATATTTCATGTTCCTCACTCATTAGATTCAGCAAAAGGGAGCAGTAGATACATACCTACTGCACATGTGACCATGAAGGCTTTCACATTTTTAGCCTACTGCCATTTCTAAAAGTCACATTTACATACAGGCAGCTCAAACTGGACCTGGAGGTGTGTTGAGGCCCAGTGCACGCTTAAACAACTTCTGTGAAGGGCTACAGTGGAAAGCACACACGACAGAGTCATGCACGTACACACAAACCCCAATACACCTTCTACCTTGGGGATCTGCAGGTTGTTGAGCTGCTGCTGCCATTTGAGAATGGTCTCCAGTCGGCACAACCAGATGTTGACGTTGCCCACGAGGACGCACCTGCCAACATGGATGGTCAGACTGTGCAGTGTCGAGCTGAGGTCGTGCAGCAGCTCCTTGACAAGGCGTGGATTGTACTGGTCTTCCAGAACTAAAACAAAACATAAAACACAAAGCACGATATTAAGATGAAAAAGAACATTTCTTTGTAACATAGTGTAACCAAAAAGGTCTGACAGGCACTTTACCACACATGTTACATGTGACAAACTGCACTTTGCTCCACAAGGCAACACAACCCCATAATGATGGAGCACACTGGTACCTACTGGTTTTGTGGTTTGGGATTCAGTACAATCACACTGCCGTGACTGGGCAGTAGTTTGAGAAACAACATGTCCTGCTTACTCAGAGCCTTATTATTTGGTAAAGACATGATCTTTCTGTAAAATATAGAGCTACTTTTACTGAAACAACAAGAGCCTAAATTAAAATCTACAATGCAATGACACGTAATCAATCTCCGTCTCACGTCTCCTTACCCTTTCGTACAATCTTCTCCAGTATATTGAAATAGTTTTTCTGGGCAGCTCCACTCAAAGAAGTGAGCTGAGACCTGGCTATTAGCTGGAAAAGCTATGGGAGACAGAGTAGAGAAAATTAGACAAAAGAAGAATCGCTTGTACAGGTTTCAACAGTTTCAAAAGGATTCTTCATCAATATGTGTAATTTTCATCGCTCACTTTTGCAACATAGTTGAATCTTCTCAAGTCCTGAATGGCACTGGAAAAGTCTAGACGGTTGAGGGCTTCACCAAGTGTGCAGTATCCATGGCGCTGTGTGTTAACATGAAAAATAAAAATACACACACATGCACATATCTTATTAAAGAATTATTTAATTCAAATAAATTCTCCTGTTTGAATCAAAAGCAAATAAATCCTTCATGTAAAAATTCTTGTATCAGCAGCAGAACTCACTTCTTTTGTGCTCCCTTTCTGTACGTAGATCCATTTATCCCTGAAAACAACTGGACGAGGGAGAAAAACACATTATTCCATACAGTTACGGACACAATATGACAAGCCCCTGTGATATTTAGTACAATCAAATACATCAGTATATACAACCATTGTAAAGATCCTTATTAGGTAATGTTAAATGTTGTTCCTCTTTCTTTATTGTGGTGGAGCAGGCTTGAAATTGACATACTGTTCAATCAAAAACTTTCTGTTATAGTGTCTAGTATTTGTTCAAACACTAGACAACCAGGATTGGTACTAAGCTGCAATAAACGCTACATTTAGGTTAATAACCAATCGTAACAAGGTGATTTAAAGTGTGCAGCCACAGGACATCTTAGTTTTATTGTACCTGCCCTCTAATGTATAAATCAATAATAAAAACATGATAATATCTAGTCATAATTACAAATGATGTTGCTTTTTGTTGTGCTGCACAACATGTAGCCTAAATTAAACATGAACGTTACATAAACTGGAATGCGTGAACTTGCTCAGATAAGAGGAAGGAAATTGACAACTTAAACAACCTGAAATCTCAGTGTCTTTCAACAAGTTTGACATGTCAGACTGGTTTGATGCTGAGGCGAGCCTCAGGTCCTATTGACAAACAGGTGTGATATATATATATTATACTATATACTATATATAATATATACACACACACACAACCCTCAGCTCAACTGGCTGGTCGTTGAGGTGCATACCAGGCGTGCACAGGTGCAGATGGCCATATTATCTAGGGTCACTGCTCCACAGGGCTTATACACACCTGCAGACTTCCAGAAATTAGACTAAGAATCACAATTTCCTTATATTCCCCCCTGAACAATGTTTCCAACAGACTATCTGTAGGATGGCAGAATGAGACTAAACTACTGTTACTGAAACACACTTAGTGCCAACATATCACTGATAAACATTACAAATGTAACACATCTCTGAATTCATGTAAATCTCAGAAAAAGCCATCACACTCAGTGCTTCCCTATGACGATCTCTGGTGATAAATTAAATGAAAAAAAGTCCAATAAATCTCATTGCAAACAAAGTGTTCAATAGGTGGCAGCCCCTTCACTGCTATTATGACTTGTGCCTACCAGTACTTCAGCTCTGTTTTTTTGTACAGAGGGCCTTTCATTTTCATACCACAAACTCTTTCACAAAGCCAAAACAGTGATTATGTGTTGCTGAGACTCACATTGAGATTTGGTGTTATTGTTGTAGAAGTCCTTTTTCCTCTTTGTGGTGGCGAGCTCACACACATCCCCAACAAACAGATTTTCTTTGTTGTCACTGCAGAGCCTGTTTGGATAGAGAAAGCATGGGAGGAATGTGTTAATAACACTGCATGCGAATGTGACCAGTACAGCTAAAATACAATAATTACAGACCGGAGGAAGTCCTGAAGAAAAGGTCTGTGACTATTTACTGATGTCTCGTATATCATCCTGTTGCATGGCATAATGGCAATTTAGGTGCTGCAGTATTTTGGACCTAACTGGGCCAGCAAAAGTTTGAGCTGAAAATAACAAAAACACAGGTCTCCAGAAAGTAATAGTAGTAATAATAATCTTTCTGGTAAAGAATCTAGCTGCTGCTTTTTGGACGATTTGGACCAATAATCAGGCCAACAGATGCAGATGTAACAGGAGTCAGAATAGGCAAGATGTGAAATTATAATGATTCACAATGTCTGTTATGGTCGAGGAAACACCGCAGACATATATTAGAGTCTGAGAGACAGAATCATTGATGTGACTCAGAGATCAGATAGAGATCTCATAATGTTTTGCCTGTTTTCTGAGAAAAGACTCTCAGTTATTTCTGGCTGCCATTCAGGGCCTGCTTGGTTGATTAGTGGCCTTGTTATTACTGATAACATAGATCTTAAAATTTTGGCAGCTGACCTCAACTTGACATGTTGACATGGGAGGCTTGAATTGGCTCAACTCCAACAGAAACTCAAATAAAAACATGTCAGCGCATGTTAATATACTGGATACAAATTATGTATGGATGGTCTGTTCATGAGGGTCTGTGCACATGAATATAAATGCTTTAGGAAAGTGCATCACGTCTCTCTGCCGTACTACTATTGTGAGAACTTTCCCTCTTTTCTTCTAAAGCCAACAAAATTAAATGACATAAAATAAAATCATCTGTACCAAGATCTGTCCTTCTGTAACTACACATTCTCTAATGACCTTTAACTCACAGATCAAAGGGCTGGATCGGACTAGTAATTGACTCTCCATGCATTAATAAGCCCTTGGCTGAAGTTGAGCACCTGGCTGGCAAAGCTACCAACTCAGGGAGCACGATATATGGGTCAGCTGATTGGGAAATTATTAGCATTGGGACTGATATTATCTCTACTACATGACATTTGATATGTGAATGTATGTTTTCATTTATTTTAGGCATGAGTTTATTTGTGGTTGTGGTAATAATGCAAAACATTGTCCCTTTGAGAATAGAAAGGCAGCTCAGTTAGACTGGTACAGCTTACAACCTTCAAAATAAGAGTATTTTTATTGGTCCCCTATCTTCGCGAATTCAAAATAGACTCCCCTGCACTGTGGTCTACCACTGCGGTCTAGGGGAGGGCATATGGCCCCTGCAATATACATAGACTCATCAGCTTCTTCTTTTCATATCCTCGTGAGGAGTTTCACCCAGAGGACTAGCTCGAGCTATCTAGAGCTGAAACGATTAGCTGATTAGTCGCTGAATCAATAGGCAGAAAATTAATTGGCAATGTGGTAATCTTTTTATTCTGCTGGTTGCTGCTCTTTACACGTGAGGAGCATTTGCTGTTTGTCTTTCTATATATATTGTAGACAACTGAATATCTAGTTTTGGACTGTTGGTGGTACAAAACAACCAATCTGAGTAAATATGCTTGGACTCAAAAACATTAGAATGTCATATTTCACTTTTTTCTGACATGATATAGAAAAACAAAGAATCAGCAGATTAATTGTTAATGAAAATGATTTCTAGTCTGCAAAGGTGCCCCAAGCTACTACTAGGCATCATTAGTGCAGCAACAAAGACATGATCCCTCAACAGCTTCCCACC